CATTTGTCTAGCTTTATAGTTGCTTTTGTGGGGAGATGATTTGTCAACCTCCTCACTTGGCCATAGCCAGAGATATTTCCTTTCCAATGTTTTCTATATATTTTAAAAATTATTGTGAAAAAATGTGAACATATTTATATTTTGACTTTCATTTAACAGACAATCATTTACATTCTCTCATGTTTTAAAATTTTTCATGGAGGATAATTTTTAATATATGCACAATATTCCCCTATCATATGTGTATAATAAAAGTGATAGCTAAAATTTTCTGTGTGCCAACTACATTCCTAGTACTTTATATATTTCATCTCATTTAATAGGTAAAACAATTCTAGGAAACACGTATTGCCTCCATTTTACTGATGAATACAGTAAATGTGAGACAAATTTAGTCACTTGCCTGAAGTCATCCAGCTAGTAAATGGCAGTTCCAAAATTCAAACTCTAGGGTGCCTGAGTGGGTTATCAAACCTCATAACTTTTCTATTATGATTCACTGTTTCCCTGAGATTCACCAAGAGTATCTTCATGTAGAAAGGTTTGGATACATTTCCAATTATTCCCTTGAAATAGTTTCCTAGAAGTAGAAGTCCTATTGGAAAGGATATAAGTATTTCAAGCTTTTGAATACATATGGACAATAAATTTTTTTGCAAAAAGTTTTTACCAATTTACGCTCCTACTAGCAGTGAATGAAAGTTGTTTTACTGAGATTGAGCAAGGATCCTCTTTTTAGAGGCCTGTGCTCCCCAAGCATGGAAATAATGGAAAACTCTGAAGTTCCTTCAAGAGACATTCTAGGCACCCAGCTAGCCCCAGAAATAAATAAGTAACTTAAACAAGAAGGTAATAGTAGCCTAAAACAATAGCCAAGGAAGTTAAAGTTCAAAAGATGTTTGCTTTATAGAAACTAAACATAACGTCTTAACATATGTCCCTGAGTTGTCTTTCTGAGCCTCAGAAAGAACCACTGAAGGAACCACTGAAAGGATCAGATGGCACTCAGATCAGCTAATGGATCAGCCCCCAGCTAAGAGGGAAGTGAAGACTGAACTATATGGTCCTTTGTTCTAAATTTCTTTCTGGGGTGCTTGGAGAAAGTCACTCCCCCTAGCCAGTTAACATTTTTCTACTGACCCCAAATTTTTAAACAAAGCCTCTCTTCCTTAACAACTGCAAATCAGAAAATCTTTGAATCTATCTACCACTCTCAAGCCTCCCTACTCCTGCCTCAACATATCCTGCCCTTTTAAGCTTAAACCAATGTGTAACTTGCATATATTGATTTATGATTTTGCCTGTAGCTTCTGCTTTCCTGAAATTTACCTCTGCCTTTAAAAATCATTGCCTGCAAGCCATCAGGGAGCTCAGGATTTGATAATTTAGCTGCCTGGTCCTCCTTGCTTGACACCCTGCAATGAAAGCCTTTCTTTCTATCACTGCAAACCTTGGTGCATATATGTGGTTTTACTGTACTAGGTGAGTAAACATCAGTTTGGTTCTATAACATTATCACACCTTTGCCACCAATGGGCATTATCATATTTTAAAGAATTGTTGAACTTTTCAAGTAAAATGATAACTATTGTTATTTAAATTAATAATTCCTTGATTAATAAATAAGGCCAGATGTCTCTTCTTATATCTATTGGCCACTGACACTTCTTTTGTGAACTGCTATTTCATGTACCTTGCCCATTAAGAAAAAGTTTGTTATTCTTCTAGATTGAAAAAACTACTATATTTCAGGAATAGTAGCTATCTTTCAGGAAACTACTGTATTTCAGAAACAGTAGCTATCTTTCTGATATGTATTCAAATATTTTCCCTAGTTCTTCAGTTACATTGTAATTTTGTTTATGAAGGTTTATTTTATATATAGAAACGACGTTTTTGGTAAACAAAATACTTTGTTTCATACTTTTCACTGCTTTCAAGCCTAGGAAGTTTTCTCTTAATTCATATCTTTAATACTCATTTTTATAGTCTTCACATTTAACTTTATTTAATAAATTCATTTGAAATTTATTTTGATCTATGTTATATGTAACACTTGCATTCTTTTCTCCCATTTTTTTATTTTTAATTTTTTTTGAGACAAGGTCTCACTCTGTCACTCAGGCAGAGTACAGTAGCATGATCACAGCTCACTGCAGCCTTGACCTCCTCAGCTCAATCGATCTTCCTACCTCAGCCTCTGGAGTAGCTGGGACTACAGGAATGTGCCACCACGCTCTGCTAATTAAAAAAAATTTTTTTTTTTTTTTTAGAGATGGGGTCTCACTATTTTGTCCTGGTTGGTCTTGAACTCCTGGGCTGAAGTGATACTCCCACCTCAGCCTCCTGAAGTTCTGGGATTACAGGTGTGAGCCACCATGCCCAGCCTTCTTTCCCATTTAACTATCTATAAAGCATTAATAATTATCCTTTTTGTTTTTTCTTGAGATGGAGTCTCGCTGTGTCTCCAGGCTGGAGTGCAATGGCACAATCTTGGCTCACTGCAACCTCTGCTTCCCAGGTTCAAGCGATTCTCCTGCCTCAGCCTCCTGAGAAGCTGGGACTACAGGCGCACCACATCAGGCCCAGCAAATTTTTGTATTTTTAGTAGAGACAGGGTTTCACCATGTTGCCAGAATGGTCTCAAGCTCTTGACCTCAAGTGATCCGCCCGCCTCGGCCTCCCAAAATGCTGGGATTATAGGTGTGGCCTATAAAGTATTAATATTTTTAATGGCTACATATTTCATCATTTTTATTTACTATGATTTACTAAACGTTCCTCTATTAGTAAACATTTAATCTCATTTTTAGTTTTTGCTATTATAGGTTTCAAAAAGTTTTCATGAATATGAGATGTTTGAACCTATTAAATTATGTTCTTAAAATAAATTTCTGGCCGGGCACAGTGGCTCATGCCTGTAATCCCAGCACTTTGGGAGGCCAAGGTGGGTGGATCACCTGAGGTCAGGAGTTCGAGACCAGCCTGTCTAACATGGTGAAACCCCGTTTCTACTAAAAATACAAAAAATTAGCCGGGCATGTTAGCTACTTGGGAAGCTAAGACAGGAGAATTGCTTGAACCTAGGAGGCGGAGGTTGCAGTGAGCCGAGATCGCGCCATTGCACTCCAGCTTGGGCAACAGAGTGAGACTCCATTTCAAAAAATAAAAATAATAAATAAATAAATTCCTATAAATGTGGCTTCTAGTTCAAAAGATACTGATGTAGAAACAGTTTATTACTCAGTTAGTGTACAACTAGATGATGGGGTTTTCATAAATTTATTATTGAAAAATAGCTGTCCTAATAACAGTGACATAATAATACACTTTTGTTATTGTTGTGTGTTTTACAAAGCCTCATTTTCTCTTAGGAAGCAACATGATAAAACTGACTTCTTGCTTGAATATATGATTTTAACATTTTTACACCTAAAAATGGAAAAAAAACATATTCTAGTTCATTAATTACCACATGGATTTCAGTTTTTCCATATTTAACAACAATAGACTTTTTTTTTTTCTTTTTCTTATATATATATTTTTAAGACAGAGTCTTGCTCTGTCGCCCAGGTTGGAGTGCAGTGGTGCAATTTCGGCTCACTGTAACCTCCGCCTCCGAGGTTCATGCAATTCTCCTGCCTCAGCCTCCCGAGTGGCTGGGATTACAGGCAGCTCCAGCCACCACACTCTGCAAATTTTTGTATTTTTAGTAGAGATGGGTTTTAGCCATGTTGGCCAGGCTGGTCTCCAACTCTCAGCTGCCTGCCTCAGCCCCCCACAGTGCTGGGATTATAGGTATGAGCCATCACACCCAGTCACACTTATAATGCTAAAAGTTTTGTTTTTTTTTTTTTGAGACGGAGTCTCGCTCTGTCGCCCAGTGCACTGGCGCAATCTCGGCTCACTGCAAGCTCCGCCTCCCATGTTCACGCCATTCTCCTGCCTCAGCCTCCAGAGTGGCTAGGACTACAGGTGCCTGCCACCACACCCGGCTAATTTTTTGGATTTTTAGTAGAGATGGGGTTTCACCATGTTAGCCAGGATGGTCTCGATCTCTTGACCTCATGATCCGCCCACCTCAGCCTCCCAAAGTGCTGGGATTATAGGCGTAAGCCACCGTGCCCGGCCTATGCTAAAAGTTTTATACCCAAATTTATTGAGGTAAAATTTAAGTACAATAAAAATAAACCATACATATTTAAAGTATATAATTTCATCAATTTTGACATATGTGTATACCTATGAAACCATCACCACAATCAAGATAACCATCATTTCCATATCCCTAATATTTTCCTTTCATTCCTTTGTAATCCATCTGTCCTTCTATCCCTGTTCCCAGGTAACCATAATCTGCTTTTTATCAATATAGATAAATTACTTTCCCAGAATTGCATATAAATGTAATTATATAGAATGAACTTTTCAAGACCCTGTCTCTATATAAAAATTTTTTTTTAAATAGCCAGCCACAGTGGTGCACATCTGTAGTCCCAGCTATTCAAAAGGCTGAGGCAGGAGGATCCCTTGAGCCCAGGAATTTGAGGCAGTAGTGAGCTATGATTGTACCACTACACTCCAAAGCGAGACCCACATCTCTTAAAAAAAAAAAAAAAGGTACTCTCTTTTCTCCCTTTTGTCTAGCTTCTTCCATTTGGCATAATGCATTTGAGATTCATCCGTGCTGTTGCATGTATCATTAGCTCATTTCTTTTTATTGTTGAATAGTATTCCATTGTACAGAGGTACCACACAATTTGTTTTTCTATGTTCTCTGTTAACCTGTTGATAGAGATCTAAGTTTTCAGTTTTTGCCTTTTCGTTATCCTAAATTTTTTAAGGTCCAATGCAGAATGACTATAAAGCTATATATTTAATATCCTAGTATACCAACTGGTTCTAAATATCAGTTGTAAAGATGTATATGCTAAAGATGTAAGTAAACAGATATATAAAGGATAAATTACCATGATGCTGTTTATGCAATTTTTTCTTACCTTTTCATGGACTACACTGTCCAGGTAAGGGTAAACATGAAAAGCTCCCCGAATTCTCTTCACACCTGGATACAACAATGGGACCATATTAACATAAGCCACACCATGAAACGAAAGCTGACCTTCTTCATCAGTCTAAAGGAATAAAACCAGAGAGTTATTAGTGCTATAAGCAATATAATATAAGGTATGGAGCTCTGACTCAGCAGTTCAAAGGCCTGGTTTTAGAAACTAACTCTACTACTTAGCCAGTTACATGACTTTGGATCAGTTACATAAGACATTTTGGGCCTTCTTTATCATCAAAATGGGTTCAATAATACCATGATCACTGAGAAAATGCATATAAACAGTGTTAATAGTAAAGGCAGTAGTTGAATCAATACAAACTTAAATTAATTGACAATATATATATTCAACCAAAAAGTCAATTTCACCATGTGGCTTCCTAGGAGAAAGTGAAGCTTTATAAAAAACAACAACAATAACAATAACAAAAAACTTAAAAGGAATCAGAAGCTATGGCTTTTAGCTTTAATTCACAGACTCATACAAATAAAAGGGACCTTACAAATTATCTGGACCAGTGATGACAAATAGGCTTTAACTTATATCTAAATTCTCATTAATTGGTGGAGGTGTTTTAGCATAGTTGGTTGAGAAAAATTATCTGCATTTATCTTGGTTCAAACGGAAAGAGTGCTTTGATTGATCAGCATTATCCACCATGGATGAAGGCGGATGAATGACAGTCTCCTGTCATGTATTTACCATACTTGATTTCATCTAAACTTTCATTGCAAAGATGAAGAACATGTTAATAAATATATTTTAACAGCGTTTTTTAATGGTTGTACGGTTTGCCACAGAAAATTTTTATAGGGAAAAAAATCAATTTTGTAAAAGAAAATAAATTCCAAGCATAAAAGTACCTCTTTGATTTCACCTATTATAATAATAATTGGCAACTAGATTAAAAAGTCTTATGCTCGGCTGGGCGCAGTGGCTCACGCCTGTAATCCCAGCACTTTGCGAGACTGAGGCAGGTGGATCATGAGGTCAGGAATTCGAGACCAGCCTGACCAACATGGTGAAGCTCCGTCTCTGCTAAAAATACAAAAATTAGCCGGGCGTGGTGGTGTGTGCCTGTATTCGCAGCTACTCAGGAGGCTGAAGCAGGAGAATCACTTGAACCCAGGAGGCAGAGGTTACAGTGAGCCGAGATTGCACCACTGCACTCCAGCCTAGGCGACAGAGTGAGACTCCATCTCAAAAAAATTAAAAAAAAGTCCTATGTTCATGTGATAACAGATAGTTTAGAAATCTAAGGAAAGTTTGCCAATACTTATATACAACAAAGGGAGAAATGGTTACATAGTGATAGTATTTTTATTATGTGAAAAGCCTATGTTTAAAGTCAGCCAAACAATTTAGATACTTATTAAATGTCTGCTATTTGCCATACATCATGCTAGGTACCATGGAGGATGCACATCAGCCTACTACATGACCCCTACTCTCAGGGAGTTTATGAACAAGCAGAAGAGACCAGACATGCACAGGTAAAACAATAGATAACATGTACTAGGCTCATCAAAGCTAAGCCTTTTAAAAATAGTAGTATATCTAAGATTCCTATTACACTAATTAGCAGGCTAAAACAGTAGGCAAGTTTAATCTATGGTAAAACTATTGTGAAGGGCTAAAGAGAAATAGGATATCTGGTAATAAAGCCTAGAGAGTTTTTAGTGAACAACGGGGAACTAGGGTGGCCAATAATCCTGGTTTTTCCCAGGACAGAGGAGTTTCCTGGGACATGAGACTTCCAGTGCTAAAACAAGTGAAGTTCAGGGCAAATCAGGATGAGCTAGTCACCCTTGGGAGAACAGCTATATTAATTCACATTTTCTTTTGGTATCAGAATTGAAGCAGAATAACAGGTCGGGTCTGATTCCACATTTCTTATACAAATAGTTTTGAGGGGGCATATTTACCTTTTCAGTTTTGCCAGCTTTCCCTTTGGGTACAGTGACCAGAGGAACTCTTGTGATCTCTACAGGCCAAAGCCGGCAATCGGCAATTCGCTTCTGAAAACTGCAAATCAAGAATCAGTCCATTAGCATTATATGTAAAAATAAAGTCAGTATAATTTAGGTTAAAGGGAAATATTCTCTTTTATTAGGTAATATAGAGTATACATATATAAAAATAGCGAGGCTGGGCTCAGTGGCTCATGCCTGTAAATGCCAGCACTTTGAGAGACCAAGGCAGGCAGATGGCTTGAGCCCAGGTGTTCAAGATGGTCTGAGCAACATGGCAAAATTCCATCTCTATGAAAAATACAAAAAATTAGCTGGGCATGGCAGTGAATACCTGTGGTTCCAGCTACTTGAGGAGGCTGAGGTGGGAGGATGGCTTCAGCCCAGCAGGTCAAGGCTACAGTGAGCCGTGATGGCGCTACTGCACTCTCACCTGGGCCACAGTGAGACCCTATCTCAAAAAAAATTTAAATAAAATACATAAAAATTTCTTACTGGGTTGGTGGTTTTTAAAACTTTCCCAAACCTATAACATTCCAAAAATAATTCTGCTCAACTTCTAGTGAGGCAAATTGAATACTTTTAGAGCAATTTAGCAATATGAATCAAAAACCTTCAAAAATCCATAGTCATTCACTATAAATTCTACTTGTAGTGATTTATTCTAAAGAAATAATCAGACAAGTTTACAAATGGTATAAAATTGGTTATTTCTACTGTGAAAATAGTATCCAGTTTCAGCTCCAACACAGTTTTGAAGTAATCCCACCAGTCCTTGCAACAAGAAAAATGTTGACCAAATTGAAATAAATAACATTTCTTAGATCCAACATAGAATTGAGGTCACAAGGCAAAAACTGCCATCCTGAAATTGAGAAAGACAGGAAAATACAGAGGATCACAGCTGCAGTCAGCTTAAAGACAACAGAAGCCAGTGGTGCCAGCAACCGGTAGAAATAGTTTAATGGTAATTTTGACAAATTGTTGGAGACTGAATGTAGACTAGCTGGGAGTGAAAAACTCCACGGGGCCCACTGTTAAGGGTCCCCATACTTACATAAGTTTTAAATCCAGGAGCCCCACCAAGTTCTCACAGTGAAGATGGAAGAAAAATACCCTCATATTTCAGGCAGGGAGAGAAGAAAAGTAACCATTTTGAAATATGGCCGCAGCATTCTCCCTATCAAAGGGTTGACCTTTAAGGGAAACTACTTTATCAGATCCTTATCTGATCTCAGGGAAGGGCATTTAGACAACTCCAACCTGTCTAGCTTCCACAGGGATAGGAGGAAAAAAAATTATGAAACACTTCTGAAAGTCACAGCCCAGGGACCCAAACCTATTTACTGAGACTTCATCACAGGTAATAGAATACTTCTCCCCAACAATTTGCCACTACATCAACAGAGTTTCAATATAATAACAATGAATTACAACTGAGAGGGCTACACACCACTCTATTAGAGAAGTTCTTGGGCAAATCCAAAGACAACAGGGGAGGTCGGGGGGAAAAGGAAACTGAAGCCTCTGGCACTTACAACTATAGCAAACAAGAAACACAACCCAGCTCCTAACCAGATTAACATAAAACCTCACACTAAAAATACTAGTTACCTCAATTCCTATTACCCAATATATAATGGCTAGCTTCCAAATTAAAAGGCTATAAAGAATGCTAAAAGGCAAGAAAAAATATAGTCCAAATAGATAAAGCTACTATAAGACCTAGACTAAGATATGACATAGATTTTGGAATTATCAGATAGGAAATTTAAAGTAACTATAATTATATTAAAGACTCTTAAGGAAAAAGTAGGCAACATGCAAGAACAGATGGGTAATGTAAGCAGAGATGGAAACTCTAAGAAAGAATCAAAAGGAAATGCTAGATATCAAAAACACAAACAAAAATGAATAATTCATTTGATGGGCTTCTCAGTTGACTGGACATGGCTAAGGAAAATAAAATCAGTGAACGTGAGTATATGTGAATAGAAACTCCCCAAACTGAAATGCAAAGGAAAAAAAATGAAAACAAAAAATCATAACAGAATATCCAAGACTTGTGGAACAATTTAAAAAGGTGTAATTAGGCATAACGGAAGAAGAAAGAAAAGAGCAGAAGAAATATTTGCAGTAATAATAGCTAAGAATTTTCCAAAATTAGCTGACAGACACCAAACCACAGATCCAGGAATCTCAGAGAACACCAAGCAGAGTAAGGACAAAAACAAACAAACAACTATATCTAGGCATATCATTTTCAAACTGCAAAAAAGAAAATCTTGAAAAAAAAACCAGAGGAAAAAACACTACCTATGGAAGAACAAGGGTTAGAAATACATTGGACTTCTCTTCAGAAACCATGCAAGCAAGAAGAGAGTAGGGCAAAATATTTAAAGTTGTGAAAGAAAAACCCACCAACTTAGAATTCTGTACCTACTAAAATTATCCTTCAAATGTGAAGGAGAAATAAACCCTTTCTCGAACAAACAAAAATGAGAGGAGTTTCTGGCCAGTAGACCTGCCTTACAAGAAATGTTAAAAGTTTTTAGAGAAAGGGAAAATGACATGGGTCAAAAAACTTGTATCAACATAAGAAAGCGCATCAGGAAATGTCATAAATGAAGGTAAAATAAATTTGTTTTTTTTATTCTTAATTGATCTGATAACTATTTGTTCAAAGGAATAATGACAACAATGTATCCTCAATAAAATATTAGCAAATCAAATCTAACAATGTGTAAAAAGAGTTATACACCATGACCAAGTGGGGGACCAGGGGTATATAAAAACTCTCTAAAACATCTGCTCAATTTTTCTGCTCGATTTTTCTATAAATCTTAAGCTGTCCTAAAAAATCAGATATTCATTTTTTTTTTTTAAGTCAGAGTTGTTCATTCAGGTTGTATATATATTGGTAATCCCTCAATTGTCATCTCTAAAGACCAGGTCATTGTGACAAAGACTGATAGTTACCTACACAATATGTGTACCTGTTCTTTACTAATTAAATCTTGATTTAGCCTGGGTGACAATGTGTTCAACTAAAACATTTTATTGTCTAGCCTTCTTGCATCTAAAGGTTGGCTAATGAGACATAAACAGAAGTTGCCAGATTCCAGGAAGGTTCCACAAGAGGGGTTAAGACAGCCAGCATGTGTCCTTTTTTATCCATAACCATTCTCCTCTTCCAAATTTCTGCCAGAAATGTGAGTGTGCAAGCTGGAGCTCCAGCAGCCACCTTTGCACCATGACACAACCTTGTGGATGGAAGTCACGTAGTAAAGAAGCTAGAGCAAAAGGAAAGATGGAGCCTGGATATCTAATAACACTGTGTAATCATCATACATACCAATTCTGGACTTTCTTTTTTTTTTTTTTTGAGATGGAGTCTTGCTCTGTCACCAGGCTGGAGTGCAGTGGCGTGATCTCGGCTCACTATAACCTCCGCCTCCTGGGTTCAAGCGATTCTCCTGCCTCAGCCTCTCGAGTAGCTGGGACTACAGGCGAGCACCACCATGCCCAGCTAATTTATGCCCAGCTAATTTATGCCCAGCTAATTTTTCTATTTTTAGTAGAGACAGGGTTTCACCATGTTGGCCAGGATGCTCTCAATCTCTTGACCTCATGATCCGCCCGCCTTGGACTTTCAAAGTGCTGGGATTGCAGGTGTGAGCCATTGCACCCAGTCGACTTTTTTTTTAAGAGACAAGGTGTCACTCCATTGCCCAGGCTGGAGTGCAGTGACTCAATCACAGCTCACTGCAGCCTCAACCTCCTGGGCTCAAGCAATCCTATCACCTCAGCCTCACAAGTAGTAAGACTACAGGTGTGTATCTGCACCAAACTAATTTTGTGTGCGTGTGTGTGTGCGTGTGTGTGTGTGTTTGTGTGTGTGTGAGCCAGGGTCTTACTTTGTTGCCCAGGCTGGTCTTGAACTCTTGGCTTTAAGAGATCATCCTGTCTCCCAAAGTGCTGGCATTATAGGCATGAGCCACCAGGCCCAGCTCAGACTTCTTTTATACAAAAGAGGAATAAGCATTCACCTTGGTTAAACCACATTATTAGCTGTTTCTGTTATTAGCAGATGAACACAACGTCACTCTAATATATAGATGTGATAAATGAAAGTCTCAATCTAAAATCACCTTAACTCAAATATAAATAAAACTAACAAAAGTAACATTTCTTCCCACCTACCAGCCTTTGTGGATTAGACATATTTCCTTCCTCTTCTTACCTGACCACTGCAGAAGGATCAAGGTAACAGCGACTTTCCAAGTCCCAAATAATCCTTTTCTTTATGCACTCTGCTTGATTCCTAAATTCACTGTCCTGTAAAATATAAGATAAAGACTTCTGTTCTCTGTATCTGTGCCATGATTTCATTCTGCTCCATCTATAGGGCATTCTTTTAATGGATTTGTTCACAATACTTTTCTTACGACTACTATTACTACTATAAGTATGACTACTATTGCAACTACTACCACCATCTTAAAATTATGAGTACTTTATTAATAAAGTATATAAGATAAATTACATATATAATAGTTACATTGATCCGGTACTAAGATCCAAATACTGACTAACATAACCCCAATCAATGATTCTCAACTCTAGATGTACATTAAAATCATCTGGAATTTTTTTTTTTTTTTAATAACACCTGGACCCGGTGCAGTAGCTCACACCTGTAATCCCAACACTTTAGGAGGCCAAGGCAGGAGTATTGCTTGAGGCCAGGAGTTTAAGACCAGGCTGGGCTACAAAGTGAGACCTCCATCTCTAAAAAAATTTAAAAATTAGCCGAGTGTGGTGGCATGAGTCTGTGGTCCCAGCTACTCACGAGACTGAGGCAGGAGAATTGCTTGAGCCTAGGAGGTTGAGGCTACAATAAGCCTCAATAATCACACCATTGCATTCCAGCCTGGGTAACAGAGTGAGACCCTGTCTCAAAAAAATAAAAAACCAAAAAAGCAAAAAACACCTGGCATTGGTACTATTTTAAAAGTAAATTCTTACATAGTTTACCTGGGTTAAGGCTTGGCCATTGTCATTGTTTTCAGTGCTTTCCTGGTGACTGTAATGTGCAGCCAGGATTGAGAATTAACAATCTAATCTAAAACATAAAATATAATCTGAATGTCTAAAATAAAATGTCTGATCTAAATTCAAATAGAAATCTAAGAAAAGTATGAATTTTCACTAATCACAATGGTGAGAAAAGATACTGCGCAGTGTTTTTCCAATATTCCTAGCCTCATCTCTACTATTTTATATATTTAGAGTCAGACAATGAAAAATAATTCAACTATCCTTATTTTACAAATTATTTTATTAAATGTTTCCATCAGTTGATTATCAGCTCATTCAAGAAACATCTGCAAGTGTGTTATACTATTTTCTATGCCCTTGACAAATTTGTGGTAATTTATATAATTAATAAGTATATTAAAGTATGTCCATACAATGTCACATTATATAGCAAGTACAAATAAAGAAAAAGAGTGAGACTGCTTTTTATGTAATGTGGAAAAATCTCAAATATACACAACAAAGTAACACAAAGAAAGTGCATATAGTGTGTTTAAGTATGTACTCTTTACATTTGTGTAATAAAAATGATAGGGAAAGAATATATGTATGTATTAGTGTATGCATATATATATATGATTAAACACAACTCAGTTTTAAAAAATGAAAAACCGGCAGGGCGCAGTGGCTTGCGCCTGTAATCCCAGCACTTTGGGAGTTGGAGGTGGGCAGATCACTTGAGGTCAGGAGTTTGAGACCAGCCTGGCCAATATGGTGAAGCCCTGTCTCTAATAAAAATACAGAAATCGCACTTCATAACACGCTGTGCGTGACGTGAGGGGCTCCTGTGGCAATGGCGAGCTAAAAAAGACCCCGCATATCCAAGACAATCCTAAGTCAAAAGAACAAAGCTGGAGGCATCACGCTACCTGACTTCAAACTATACTACAAGGCTACAGTAACCAAAACAGCATGGTACTGGTACCAAAACAGAGATATAGACCAATGGAACAGAACAGAGTCCTCAGAAATAATATCACACATCTACAGCCATCTGATCTTTGACAAACCTGAGAGAAACAAGAAATGGGGAAAGGATTCCCTAGTTAATAAATGGTGCTGGGAAAATTGGCTAGCCATAAGTAGAAAGCTGAAAACTGGATCCTTTCCTTACTCCTTATACGAAAATTAATTCAAGATGGATTAGAGACTTAAATGTTAGACCTAATACCATAAAAATCCTAGAGGAAAACCTAGGTAGTACCATTCAGGACATAGGCATGGGCAAAGACTTCATGTCTAAAACACCAAAAGCAATGGCAGCAAAAGCAAAAATTGACAAATGGGATCTCATTAAACTAAAGAGCTTCTGCACAGCAAAAGAAACTACCATCAGAGTGAACAGGCAACCTACAGAATGGGAGAACATTTTTGCAATCTACTCATCTGACAAAGGGCTAATATCCAGAACCTACAAAGAACTCAAACAAATTTACAAGAAAAAAACAAACAACCCCATCGAAAAGTGGGCAAAGGATATGAACAGACATTTCTCAAAAGAAGACATTCATACAGCCAACAGACACATGAAAAAATGCTCATCATCACTGGCCATCAGAGAAATGCAAATCAAAACCACAATGAGATACCATCTCACACCAGTTAGAATGGTGATCATTAAAAAGTCAGGAAACAACAGGTGCTGGAGAGGATGTGGAGAAATAGGAACACTTTTACACTGTTGGTGGGATGGTAAACTAGTTCAACCATTATGGAAAACAGTATGGTGACTCCTCAAGGATCTAGAACTAGATGTACCATATGACCCAGCCATCCCATTACTGGGTATATACCCAAAGGATTATAAATCATGCTGCTATAAAGACACACGCACACGTAGGTTTATTGCGGCACTATTCACAATAGCAAAGACTTGGAATCAACCCAAATGTCCATCAGTGACAGACTGGATTAAGAAAATGTGGCACATATACACCATGGAATACTATGCAGCCATAAAAAAGGATGAGTTTGTGTCCTTTGTAGGGACATGGATGCAGCTGGAAACCATCATTCTTAGCAAACTATCACAAGAACAGAAAACCAAACACCGCATGTTCTCACTCATAGGTGGGAACTGAACAATGAGATCACTTGGACTCGGGAAGGGGAACATCACACACCGGGGCCTATCATGGGGAGGGGGGAGGGGGGAGGGATTGCACTGGGAGTTATACCTGATGTAAATGACGAGTTGATGGGTGCTGATGAGTTGATGGCTGCAGCACACCAACATGACACAAGTATACATATGTAACAAACCTGCACGTTATGCACATGTACCCTAGAACTCAAAGTATAATAATAATAAAAAAAAAATACAGAAATCAGCAGGGCATAGTGGCGTGTGCCTGTAATCCCAGCTACTCAGGTGGCTGAGGCACGAGAATAGCTTGAACCCAAGAGGCAGAGGTTGCAGTGAGCTGAGATAGCGCCACTGCACTCCAGCCTGGGCGACAGAGTGAGACTCTGTCACAAACAAACAAACAAACAAACAAACAATAATACCTTGAGATAAAGGAAAAATAGCAGTGTCTTCCCAACAGATTCTAGTTCTGAAAATAACAAGACTTTGAATACTTCCTGAAAATCTGGACTTCTAAAGATAAGAACTTTTATCGGCCGGGCACAGTGGTTCACACCTGTAATCCCAGCACTTTGGGAGGCCGAGGCAGGCGGATCACCTGAGGTCAGGAGTTCAAGACAGTCTGGCCAAACATGGTGATACCCCATCTCCACTAAAAATACAAAAATTAGCCAGGTGTGGTGGCAGGTGCCTGTAATCCCAGCTGCTTGGGAGGCTGAGGTAGAAGAATCGCTTGAACCCAGGAGGCAAAGGTTGCAGTGAACCGAGATCACGCCATTGCACTCCAACCTGGGCAACAGGAAGGAAACTCCATCTCAAAAAAACAAAAAAAGAAAAGAACTTTTATCCCTGATGTTTATTATGCTGATGTCTGAAGATATTTTATAACCTTTGTATATCTGAGAATCAAGTGAAGAAACCTGCAGTTTTGCCATCATGAATAGACTAATGTAAATGGGGTAATGTTGGTAATTTTGTGTTGCTTTCTTATAAAAACATTTGACCTTGAACAACACAATTTGAATTGCCCACTTATATATATGCGGAATTTTTTTTTTTTGAGACAGAACCTTGCTTTGTTGCCCAGGCTGGAGTGCAGTGGTACGATCTCGGCTCACTGCAGCCTCTGCCTCCCGGGTTCAAGCGATTCTCATGCCTCAGCTTCCTGAGGAGCTGGGATTCAGGAGCACACCACTATACCGGCTAATTTCTGTGTTTTTAGTAAAGACGGGGTTTCACCATGTTGGCTGGGCTGGTCTCAAACTCCCGGACTCAAGTGATCAGCCCGCCTTGGCCTCACAAAGTGCTGGGATTACAGCCACTGCACCTGGCTCATATGTGAATTTTTTTTTTTTTTAGACAGAGTCTCACTCTGTTGCCCAGGCTGGAGTGCAATGGCACGATCTTGGCTCACTGCAACCTCTACCTCCCGGGTTCAAGTGGTTCTCCTACCTCAACCTCCCAAGTAGCTGAGATTACAGCTGTATGCCACTACACCCAGTCAATTCTTGTATTTTTAGTAGAGATGGGGTTTACCATATTGTCCAGGCTGGTCTCGAACTCCTAACCTTGTGATCCACCCACCTTGGCCTCCCAAAGTGCTAGCATTACAGGCATGAGCCACCACATCGGGCCACGTGGATCTTTTTTAAACCAAACATGGATTAAAATACAGTATTTGCGGGATGAAAACCCACATATATGGAGGGCCAACTTTTCCTATACATAGTTACTACAGGGCTGACTGAAGGACTTGAGTATGCACGAATTTTGCTATTTGCAGGGGTCCTGGCAACAATCCCCCAAGTATACCAAGGAATCACTATACTTTTTCGTTTGTTTTGTTTTTGAGACAGAGTCTCGCTCTGACACCCAGGCTGGAGTGAGGTGGCACAATCCTGGCTCACTTCAACCTCCCCCTCCCAGTTCAAGTGATTCTTGTGCCTCAGCCTCCCAAGCAGCTGGAATTACAGGTGTGTGCCAACATGCCCAGCTAAGTTTTGTATTTTTAGTAGAGACAGGGTTTCATCATGTTGGCCAGGTTAGTCTCGAACTCCTGATCTCAGTGATCCACCTGCCTAGGCCTCCCAAAGTGCTAGGATTACAGGCATCAACCACTCCGCCCAGCCAAGATGACTATACTGATTTTTTATTTGGTGAGTCAGTCCTGAAGTCTGACTCCCTTTCACAATTTCCAAGGAAACCTTTTCTTTACTTTTCTAAATGCTTCTGTCTCTGAGTCTTCCTCTGACTTACGTATTTCCCTTTATATACATAAGAAAGTATCTAGAAGGAAACACAAGAAACTGTAACAAAGGTGATGACTGTCACAGAATCCTTGGTCTGTTGCTTTTCCAGCAGAAAACCTCTGTGACTGGTGGCACCTTTGCCCAAATTTTGGTTGGGCCTGGTAGGCTCGTTTCACCCACTTGGCCTGGCAGGCTATGCTAGGCTTGCATACTGGCCAGGATCCCACGCCTGCCAAGGGTGAGCCAGGCATGGAGCATTGAGGGGTGTGTGAGTAAGCGATCATGGGGTCTGGCCATTGTGCACAGCCAGGCATGCTGGCTGCAGCAGAGCCAGAAGCTCCAGGCACCACCATAGGTGGCAGCTCCCTGTGAGGCTGTGGCTGAACCAGGCATACTGCAAGCAGCTTCCATAGCTGGCACCAGGGAATGTGGTGGTGCTCAGAAGCTTGGAGACACCAGAAACTGAAGAGCCCCTGGTGTCACAGCCCTGGCTCAGGGAGCGCCTAGGTCTGGGCTTCCCAAAGGACCACAACTCTTCTCTCTTCTCCCCTTTTTGTCACCCACATTGTGATGAGCAAGGGACATGTTTCAGCCCTGTTTGTGTTACAGCTCTTTCAGCCCCACCATTCTGCAGGTCCTGAGTTCTTGTTTTGCATCCAGGAAGAATGAGGTACACAGACAAGTGGAGGGTGAGTAAGGCAAAGAGGTGCTTTACTGAGCAACAGAACAACTCAGAGGAGACTCACTGAGTAGTGGTAGCTCCTCTCTGCAGGCAGGTAGTCCTGACAAGTGTCCAGCTCTCAGGAGAGGGGAGACCCACAGTGGGTAGCTCCTCTCCACAGGCGGGACGTCCTGACGAGTGTTCAGCTCTCAGCAGAGAGGAGACCGACAGTGGGTAGCTTCTCTCCACAGGCAGGTCATCCCATCCTTTGCCTGAGTCGGGTTGAGTCCTGGGTTTTTATGGGCTTCAGAGGGGAGGAAGTGGATGCTGATTGATCCATGGGAGGCCATGGGTGGGGCCAGAAAAGTACCGTAAGTTCTCATCCCGGTCCATGGGAACTAGCAGCCTGGCCCCCGGACCTAAGGCAGTCCCTGGCCTGAAGGTGGGATTTCACTGGGGACCTGCCCCTTTTCGCCCAGGAGCCTGTGTGCCTCCTGCTGCCATCCACAGTGCCCTGGCTGTTCATGCTGAGGGGTGCCTGCAGGCCCATGCCAAGCTGCCCTCAGTGGCCCCTTGGACTTTCTCCCATGCTCATGGGTGCCCAAAGTCTGGAGGGGGATCAAGATGGCAGAGGGTTGGTTTGTCAGCACTGCCCTGAGTACATGCACACCTGGCCAGGTTGTGACAGCACTGGGCTCAGCCACAACTTTGCTCTGAAATTGGAGTAGGCACCAGGAGTAAGCAGAGGCCAGGCATCAGGAGCAGGCACTTCCAAGCCTGTGGGGGCAGGAGGGCTTCCCAGATTCCGAGAGTGCAGCAATGCCTGGGTATGCAGCTGTGGCTGGGCAGCTGCAGCTGCACATGGGAGGGAAGGGCTCCCACTTGTTCCCAGCTCCTGCCAGCTCCATGGAGCGTGTAGGCCCAGCCAGGACTCCCCCACTGCAGCCAGCATCATGGCAGGAGCTGCTCCAGAGTGGCTACTGCTGCCATCGCTACTAGGGTAATGAGATGGGGAGGAATTAGAAGGAAGAGACATGACTAGAGGGACACTTTCACTGCATAGATCTTCGTTTTTAATTTTGACAGTAACTGATAATTACCTATTCATAAGTCAATAAATTTAAAATAAAATAAAGAGTATATGTGATATAAATTATTTTGTTTTCTGGACTTAAGAAGTCAGAAGATAGCTGAATCAGAATTAGATACGTGTTTTATTTTGGCATGTAATTATTTTGACAGGTGACAAATGTATATAAATTAGAGTAATTCACAAAATGTTTTATCATCTGTCAGTACACTAAGTTTATCACAAAAACCCGTATATCAGGCTCTCACCTCAGGATGGTTGAGTTCTCCTTCTTCTTCTTCATAGGGACCACCAACAATGAATGCATCAGGAATGTTATTAGCTCCTGGAGCCAGAATGTTGGCAATTGGCCACTTTTTGGGCCGGGGAACAGGTTCTCTTTCCCCTCCAAGCTTCAGAGTTCCATTCTTAAATAAAATGGGATAGTCCTTCTACAGAAATAATACCATACGTCAGGAAAGTTTGTAAAGGACTTTGAAATGGACAAGAAGATTAATCAAGTCTTTTCAATGGAATGCTGAGTGTTGTCAAACATACCCCTCTATGATTAATCTGATTCTAGAGAGCAGCCTGTGCCTTTCATTGTCTTTGCACTATTTTACAACTCTGTAACTTATAGACATTTGATAATAATGCAAATTATTCTGGTTCATAAATATGCAGATACAGTTTGTCCAGTGGCAATGTAACTGATTATTTCCCTGAAGCTAATGACAAGTTTTGAATTATCGGCAAATTCATTTCAGCATTCCTGATGCCTATATACTCCTTTGAACTCATTGTCACATTTTACTGATTCCCTCACTAATAAGTTAAATAAAATCTTGGACCAACTTTTGTGTTATTTATTTTATATGAGAGTTGTGTTTATACCTGTTTTAAAATTATCCTTTAGAAAACAAACTAAAATCTGGCAAGGGGCTAAAAATATAGGCATTTTCATGTCTTATAATTTATCCAAAGAATACTTGCAGTAGAAAATTGGTAAAATATATAAGTAGGCAATCTATAGAAGAGGAAATTAGAACATCCAACATTTAAATAAAAACATGCTACATTTCATTAATAATCAGTAAAGTGCACATTAAAACAATGAGGTATCAGCCAGGCAAGGGTGGCTTAATGCCTATAATCCCAACACTTTGGGAGATAGAGCCAGGAGGATCACTTGAAGCCAGGAGTTCGAAACCAGCCCAGGCAACATAGCGAGACCCCTACATCTACAAAAAAAAAATTAAAAATTAGCCAGATGCAATGGCATGCACCTGTAAACCCAACTACGTAGGAGGCTGAGGTGAGAGGATTGCTTGAGTCCAGAAGTTCAAGGTTACTGTAATCTATGATTGTGCCACTGCACTCCAGCCTAGGTGATGGAGTGAGACCCTGTCTCTTATTAATAGATAGACAGAGAGACATATAGATAGACAAACAACAGGAACAAGAAGTTTACTGGAAAAGAAAACCAAATGGCCCTTAAATTAAAAGAAAGTTCTATTTCCAACACTGTAGCAAACTAAAGTACAACAGATCCTTTATCAGCAACAAACACACAACAAACTAGATAAAGTAGAACAGCAACAACAAAAAAAAGTTATATTTTATCACATAGCCAAGGTCAAAAGAAGTAAATGATAGTCTAGGCTGGGCACAGTGGCTCATGCCTATAATCCCAGCACTTTGGGAGGCCAAGGCGGGCGGATCACAAGGTCAGGAGTTTGAGACCAGGCTGGCCAATATGGTGAAACCCCATCTCTACTAAAAATACAAAAATTAGCTGGGTGTGGTGGTGGGTGCCTCTAGTCCCAGCTACTCGGGAAGCTGAGGCCAGGAGAATCGCTTGAACCCAGGAGGCAGAGGTTGCAGTGAGCCGAGATCGTGCCACTGTACTCCAGCCTGGGCAACAGAGCGAGATTCCGTCTCAAAAAAAAAAAAGAAAAGAAAGTCTAAAAGTGCCAGAACTGGCAGCAGCAGCAACTCAATACCCAAGGTATAAGCTCATGAGCTGATGCTGTGCCAACCTAGGAAATGTCAGACCCAGACACTACTATACAGAAGCAAGCATGGCCCTGCGCCCAGGCAGGACAGGAAGCTGGAACTAAGGCTGCTGCATAAAACTAGGACCTGGGCGTGGTGGCTCATGCCTGTAATCCCAGCACTTTGGGAGGCTGAGGCATGCAGATGACCTGAGGTCAGGAGTTCGAGACCAGCGTGGCCAAGACGGTGAAACCCCGTCTCTACTAAAATACAAAAAATTAGCTGGGCATGGTAGCGGGCACCTGTAGTTCCAGCTACTCAGGAGGCTGAGACAGGAGAATTGCTTGAACCCAGAAAGCAGAGGGTGGAGTGAGCCGAGATCATGCCACTGCACTCTAGCCTGGGTGACAGAGCGAGACTCCATCTCCATCTCCAAAAACAAAGCAAAAAAAAAATCTAGAACCTGGAAGGGCAACCTTTCATCAAATATCAGAATAAAGGAGCCGTTTTCAAGTTTAAAATGATGCAAGAAACCTAAAAGAAAAAAATTTAACTATTAAAAAACTTTTGTATACCAAAGCAATGACCCAAATTAAAAATAAATAATAAACCAGAAATAAACATGATAAACTATAAATTGACAAACTTGAAAGAAAACATTATTTTTCTCCACATATGAATTTTTTTTGTTGTTTTTTTTGAGACAGCATTTCACTCTTGTTGCCTAGGCTGGAGTGCAATCTTGGCGCGATCTTGGCTCACTGCAACCTCTGCCTCCTGGGTTTAAGTGATTCTCCTGCCTCAGCCTCCCCAGTAGCTGGGATTACAGGCACCCACCACCATACCCGGCTAATTTTTTGTATTTTTAGCAGAGACAGGGTTTCACCATGTTGGCCAGGCTGGTCTCGAACTCCTAACCACAGGTGATCTACCTGTCTCAGCCTCCCAAAGTGCTGGGATTAGAGGTGTGAGCCACCACACCCCAGCCAGAATGTAAAAAATCAGTAAGAAAAATACTAAGACCTCCAGAAGAAAAAAAAATAAAAGGCACTTTCAATTATCAAAATTAGCAAAAACAAAGAAAAAATTTTCAATACAATCCCAAAGTTGGAGAGAGGGCAATGCACAGATCTGCCTCATATAGCTATGTGGGTTGTTCCCTGGAAGGGTGATCAGCCATCTCATTTGCCTAGGATTGTCCCAGTTGTGGTACTGAAAGTCCCATATCCCAGGAACCTCCTAAGTCCTCAGCAAACTGAAGAATTGCTACACAACTTTAGTGGGTCATTCACATACACAGCCCTGGAAATAAGACAAGTGAAAGAGTTAACTGAATAGAAGCCTTTTAGCAAGCAATTTAGAAATCTCCATCAAGAGCCTAAGAAACTCCATATCCAATCATTCCTATACCTGGAAATGTGGCCTAAGAAAATAATCTGGAATTAAGAGAAAGTTTTGTTTAATAAAGCACATTGCACAAAATCTGCAAAATGTACACACAAAAATAATCTGTACAGAAATACACCAAAATTGGCCATTTTAAATGTCTTACATATTTTCTACCATACATTTATATAAATTATATTTAATGCACAATATATAATATGTAAATCATAAACATTAAAATCTGTATATAAAATAGAGATAAACTGTATTTTTCAAGCCTAAAATAAATCTCAGCTATTAGCAGTACAATGTTTTGAATGAAATCTTAGAGGTGAGGAAGAGATGACCATATGAGTACAGACATGTTTGAATCTCTATAAATATCTGGCAGTAGGGCTTTACCTCTCCAAGTGATGGAACTTGCAGACCGACCATGTAGTTCTGCCCAGGACCTGTTGGAATGAAGGATTCAGGCACAGAGTAAGCAGCCTCCAACGTGACCTTCAGTAGATTGCCCCCTGAGATCTGGGCTGTGGTCAGTAAAGGCTCTGCCACTAATACTTTAACTTCAAGACTGCACTGCTGTAAAAGAATAAAATCATGCAACATTTTGAAAATTGCCAGAGATCTTCCTTTTTTGCATTACCTCATTTGAATCTCATATTACTGTTCAAGATAAGAAGGTAAAGCTTAATTATTTCCATAAGTTGAAATCATGTTCTCTAGGTCCCGTGAGTTGGAGATAGAGCCAAGAAGAGAATCTTATTCCTAAACTGTTCCCTTCCCACTCTACCATTTTGAGGTAAAGTATATATATAAATACATATAAAACAGGAATTGTAAGAGTCTATTGAAATGTTGGCCAGGCATGGTGGCTCACTCCTGCAATCCCAGCACTTTGGGAGCTAAGGCAGGTGGATCACCTGAGATCAGGGGTTCAAGACCAGCCTGGCCAACACAGTGAAAACCCATCTCTACTAAAAATACTAAAATTAGCCAGGCGTGGTGGTGCACGCTTGTAGTCCCAGCTGCTGGGGAGCCTGAGGCAAGAGAATTGCTTGAACCCAGGGAGGCAGTGAGCTGAGATCGTGCCATTGCACTCTAGCCTGGTCAACAAGAGTAGAACTCCATCTCAAAAAAAAAAAAAAAAAATGTCGACAGAAGTTGCACATGAGTAAGTGAGATTGGGTGCTTTTTTGCTAGTCTATATTTTATTATTATTTTTGTAATTTTTAAATTAAATTAAATTAAATCTGAAACAGAGTCTCACTCTGTTGTCCAGGCTGGAATACAGTGGCACGATTTCGGCTCACTGCAACCCCGCCTGCTGGGTTCAGGTGATTCTTCTGCCTCAGCCTCCTGAGCAGCTGGGAGTACAGGCGCACACCACCACGCTCAGCTAATCTTTGTATTTTTAGTAGAGACGGGGTTTCAACATATTGGCCAGGCTGGTCTTGAACTCCTGACCTTGTGATTCGCCCACCTCGGCCTCCCAAAGTCCTGGGATTACAGGCATGAGCCACCGCACCCGGCCTATTTTTGTAATTTAAATCTAATGCTTTGTAATAAGAAAATATTTTTTTCTGATAGATATGTATATATTCCACATAAATAGGTATAGACATACATGTGTATACCTCTGACATTTTCACTCAGGATACATACAAAGTAGGTTTTAAATGTATTGAGGCTGGGCAAGGTAGGCTCTGGCCTGTAATCCCAGCACTTTGGGAGGCCAGGGCAGGCATATTACCTGAGGTCAGGAGTTTGAGACCAGCCTGGCCAACATGGTGAAACCCCAACTCTACTAAAAGAGAAAATACATAAAAATTAATCGGGCAGAGTGATGGGTGCCTGTAATCCCAGGTCGGTAGGCTGAGGCAGGAGAATCGCTTGAACCCAGGAAGTGGAGGTTGCAGTGAGCCGAGATCATACCATTGCACTCCAGGCTGGGCAACAAGAGCAAAACTCTATCTCAAAAAAAAAAGAATCTGTATTGAATGCGAGGCACTCTGCTCCATCACTAGGGATATAAAGACAAAGAAGACATAGTTCCTTTCAACACAGAACTCATATCATAGTGCCAAGATTTATGCGAAATCTATACTAGAGATCTGTATAAAATGCTGCAGTCAAGGAAACCAAGGAGGGAGTGAATAATTATTTGGCTGGGTTGACATTTATAGGATAAATAGGCATTTACAACCTGGATTAGCAGAGGAAGGAAAGAAAAAACCATTCTGGATAAGAACAGTTTTTGTGGGCTGGTCCAAAGGTAGTGAGTTATTTCAACTGACTGTTCGCAGTCAGTTACACATCAAATTCTTTGTTCTATTCTTTCCCGTGTCTCACTACTGCACTTGGCTGGTCTTAGGGGGCAAAAACAGTCTATGTAAAGAGGGATTGGAACAGTATGGTATCTTCCATTTAGGTATATGTAAGTAATTCAGGATTCTGGAACTTGAAGTATTAATATAAGGAAAGAAGTAATGAGAGATGAGGTTGAAGGGGGAGGCTTCCATTATAAAGGATGCTGTATGCCTGCTAAGCAATCTGGACCTTAACTTGTAAGCAGCGGGTGAATCCATGAACTACACAGTACTAAGTAGGGGAAGAGATAAGATCAGATTCACTTTTAATCATTGTGCAAGCCATGGGGAGGTTGAACTGGAGGGAGGTAAAGGTAGGTACAAGGCTATTTGTAACTATCCAAGTGAGAGATAATAAGGCAATAAAGAGTAGGAATGAAGCCAAAAAGAAAACCTAAAGACACTTAGAAGATGGAAAAGGCAGGATTTGGTGAAAGGCAGATTTGAAGATTGGTTGTAGTTAGGGTCTGAGGGAACAGTCATAGATATAATTTAGGTTCTATGTTCCATGATTTCATGGATGGGTGATGCCACTAGTCAAAAAACTAAGATAAAAGGAAGAGTAGGTTTCAGGGAAGATACTGAGTTCCGTTTTGGAATGTTGAGTTTTAGGTGCCTATGAGATAACGTTATAGAGGTATACAGTAGGTGCTTATAAAGTCTGATATTCTAGAATTCCAGAAAGGGGTCTGGGCTAGAACTGTTGGATTAGAAATTTTCAGTGAGAGGCATGCTACCATGCCCTAAAGTATATGAGGTGCTTTCATATACTATTTGATTCATCAGGACATAGCTCAAGAGTTATTTCCATGGTTAAGCCTTCCTTGCCTCTATCCGTGGACAAAGTAACTGATACCTGCTCTATGCCCATGTGCCTCACTTCACCATTTAACCACACTGGGTTGTAATCTATGATATGTATATTGTGGGCTTTTCAAAGTAGGACTCCGCCTTATTATCTTTGTCTCCCAGAATCTAACACTAAGTGTGCTGTGAGAAGAAAATGCCCAATGCATTACACTCAACTGAACTGAACCTTAATAGCAGACAGAATTGTTACACTGAATGGCAGGCTGAAATGTTGAGAGCTAAAACTCTGATTACCTTAGCACTTGATCTAGGAGTTTCTAAGGGTGAGCCTTGCACAGGGTGCAATGGAACTGCTGTTTGAAATGAACTCTGTCCTGCAAAAAGAAGCCCAAGTTGAGCCAAAGAAGAAAGGGTTAAGTTGGGATGACTGCAGGCAGAGATAAATGCGCCCACTTTACCCCTCAAATGCCTCAAATTCATTGAGGCTAATTTCTATATCTCTCTGGGGCTAAGTTTTTATGAGCTTTGCCATTTCTGCTTTTGGGCAAAGCACACATCTGACCTTCCAGTAAGGGAAGAAGGTCCACCACCGCCTGACCAAGAATTAAGGTCTTCTCTTCTTTCTGTTTCTTTTCCTTTGGTAAAACTTCAGTCACAGTTACTAGAAAAATCAAAACAAAGAAAATGAGACATTTAAAACATCCACCCGATAACCAAGGTGCAACACACAAAGCATTGTCAAAGCTATGTACATTAAAAAAAATTAACTTGAAAGTAAAGAAGGCACCAACATCAGTGACTTCTGGTGGAAAATACCGGACCACTTCAGTGACTTTTGAACATTTTGCCTGCAAGTTATAATATGAAATAGGTTTTAGATCATAATCATGTACATGCATGTGTATAAAAGTAACTGAGGCTGGGCGCAGTGGCTCACGCCTGTAATCCCAGTACTTTGGGAGGCCGAGGAGGGCAGATCACCTGAGATTGGGAGTTCGAGACCACCCTGACAAACATGCAGAAACCCCGTCTCTACTAAAAACACAAAATTAGCCAGGCATAATGGCCCATGCCTGTAATCCCAGCTACTCGGGAGGCTGAGGCAGGAGAATCGCTTGAACCTGGGAGGCGGAGGTTGTGGTGAGCCGAGATCAAGCCATTGCACCCAGCCTGGGAAACAAGAGTGAAACTCCGTCTCAAAAAAAGAAAAGAAAAAAAAAAGTAACTGATACATATGATTATATAACAAAGCTTCATATAATATTAATCTTTACTAGGTCAAAATCCTTAGTTATTTTCTATTCTATTTCATATAGAAGAAATTACTGGTCATAATGCCCATCAATTGATCTTACGACTGGCTAAAAAGTCATAATCTGAAGTTTGAAAAACACTGCTCTAGGGTGGGCGAGGTGGCTCAAGCCTGTAATCCCAGCACTTTGGGAGGCCAAGGCAGGCGGATCACGAGGTCAGGAGATTGAGACCATCCTGGCTAATATGGTGAAACCCCCGTCTCTACTAAAAATACAAAAACAAAATTAGCCAGGCATGGTGGCGGGCGCCTGTAGTCCCAGCTACCCAGGAGGCTGAGGTAGGAGAATGGCGTGAATCTGAGAGGCAGAGCTTGCAGTGAGCAGAGACTGGGCCACTGCACTCCAGCCTGGGCGACAGAGTGAGACTCTGTCTCAAAAAAAAAAGAAAAAGAAAAAAGAAAAAGGAAAACATTGCTCTAGATCCCCTATATTGCCTACCATAAGGCTTGACACATTTTGGAGTAATCCTGTAGCACGCAGAATATGTACAAAGTTTTTCACTGCAGCATTACTCTGTGTGCTTAACACTTATTATAACAATTTCAAAATTTCAAATACACAAAGTAGAATAGTGTAACAACGATCCATATAACCATAATCTAAATTTAACAATTTTTTTGCTTCATCATATGTAGCTTTGTTTGCTCAAATACTTTTATCATATTTTGTTTGCTGAAGTACTTTTCAAATAAATTACAGACATCATGACATTTTACTCCTAAATACCAAAATACACAAATCCCAAGTAAGATATTTTCCTAGAAAACCACAATCACTTTACCACATTTGGCAAGTGTGTGATAATAGCATTAAATAATTCCTTAATTCATCTAGTGTCCAGCTGATATTTAACATTTCCCAATTATCCCCAAATTTATTTTGTAGCTGGTCTGTTCAAACCAGAATCCACTCAAAGACCACGTGTTGCATTTGGTTGTCATGTTTCTTTTCATTTAGACCAGTCCCCCCTTTCCACATACTTCTTCTCTCAAACATTTCTCTCTTTTGTTGAAGACACCAGGCCAATAGTTATACAGAATGTCACACGTTCTAGATTTGTCTCTTGTTTTATTCCTCATAGCGTTTAATTTGTTTCTCATTTCCTGTGTTTCCTACTTGGGTTCAGTTTCAGCGTCTTCAGCAAGGAAAATAGAGTTTGATAACATATTTACCTATGTGGTATGTTATCAAACTCTGTGACCTTTGTAACCTGACAGATGAAAATAGCATCTAAGCATAATTTTATTTTTTGTATTAGAATCAGGTTGAAATTTTTTCCATATATTTAAGGACCAGTTATAGTTTCTTTTCCATGAACTTTTCGTATTCCTTTCATATGTTTTATATACTTTTCCATTAGATTCTTGCTCTTATTAATATGCAAGAGCTCTTTAAAAGTAAATTTGCCTTCTGTCTAGAAATGAATTGCAAATTGTAATCCAGTTTGTAGCTTGTCTTTTACAGTTGCTAATGAATATATATATATATATTATTTTTCTGTGGTTTCTACAGTTGTGAAATACTTATAAAGGCTTCATCTCTCGATTATTTTAATTCCATGATTTCTTATGGTAGTTACACGATTTAATTTTTTACCCACATTTTATCCAGCTGGTATTTATTTTGGTAGTTTGTTTTTCAAGACCAGGCCTCACTTTGTCACCTGGGCTGGAATGCAGTGGTGTGATCTCAGCTCACTGCAACCCCTGCCTCAAGGACTCAAGTGATCCTCCCACCTCAGCCTCTGGAGTAGCTAGGGCTACAAGTGCTCACCACCACACCCAGCTAATTTTTTTTTTTGTATATATATATATATATATATTTTTTTTTTTTTTTTTTTTTTTTTTATGTATACCCTTCTCTCTTTTAAAAGCAATCCTCTACCAACTGGTGATGGTGTCAGCATCACTGGCCTCACCTCACGATTCCTCGTTATCCTTTCGGCCTCCCAGAAGTGCAGGACTGTGGCTAATTTTTGTATTTTAGTTGAGACAGGTTTTCACCTGTCATTTTTTTTTTTTTTTTTTTTGGAGACGGAGTCTCGCTCTGTCGCCCAGGCTGGAGTGCAGTGGTGCAATCTCGGCTCACTGCAAGCTCCACCTCCTGGGTTCCCGCCATTCTCCTGCCTCAGCCTCCCAAGTACCTGGGACTATACCCGGCTAATTTTTTGTATTTTTAGTTGAGACAGGGTTTTACCATGTTAGCCAGGATGGTCTCGATCTCCTGACCTTGTGATCTGCCTGCCTTGGCCTTCCAAAGTGCTGGGATTACAGGTGTGTGTGAGCCACCACGCCCAGCCCCAAAGTGTTGGGATTACAGGCATGAGCCACTGCACCCAGCCACTGTTTTTTGTTTGAGACAGAGTCTCGCTCTGTCACTCAGGCTGGAGCGCAGTGGTGTGATCTTGGCTCACTGCAACCTCCACCTCTCAGGTTAAGTGATTCTCCCGCCTCAGCCTCCTGAGTAGCTGGGACTACAGGCACGCTCCACCACCCCCGGCTAATTTTTATATTTTGAGTAGAGATGGGGTTTCACCATGTTGACAGGCTGGTCTTGAACTCCTGACCTTGTGATCCACCCACCTCAGCCTCCCAAAGTGCTGGGATTACAGGCTTGAGCCACTGTGCCTGGCACATTACATTTTTTTAATTCAATTGAGATCTTCCAGTTCTTGGAATGACTTACAGCTTTTAGGTGAAACCTGGACTTTTCCTGTTGTTATGAATCTCTGGATCTCACTTACACCTTCTGTTTTCAGCTGGCGTTTTCCAACACCACCCCAACAGAAGAAGGAAGGAGATGCTGCCTCATTACTGCCAAGTTGGGGGTGGAAGTCTAGGTTCCCTACTCAGCCTCTGCTGACACCTGATGTGGGCAGTTCCTCATTACTGTTGAGCAGGGGAATTGGAGTCCTGATTCCTTACTTGGTTTCCACTGATACCACAGTGGGTGTGAACTCATTACACCTGGGTGATGGTGAAAGCTCTGACTCTAAACTAGGCCTCCTCTGATACCACTCCAGTGGGAAGCAAAAGGGCACCTTGTTACTGATAGTTTGGGATAGAAGTGCAAGATTCCTGTGGTCTCCACTAACATTATGAGGGGTGGGAAGGGGAATCATTACCAGAGGGGATAAAAGTCCTGGTTCCCTACTTGGTCTTCTCTGACATCACTAGGGTAATGGAGAATCTCATTTTTGAGCTTTGTGAGAGTGGAAGTCTAAGCTCTCCACTCAGCTTGATTGAGGGTGGGGGCTACAGTTTTTTTTCCTATGGTTTTTAGCTGGAGTAAGGAATTACTCTCTAAAACTTTTCTGTCTTATTAGGCTGCCCCTTTCATAGTCTTTTGGCTAAACAGAGCAGACTTTTATCAGGCTTGCTTTCTTTTTTCTTTTTTTGGTCTGTGCCCATTGGTGTCTCCAGGTTACCACCTTCTTCAGCAAGAAGTATGGGATATACAAGGCAAAAAGAAAACCCAAGGAACTCACCACTGTGTCATTCCCCAGGTCCCAAGTTTCCTTCTCTCCACCTTTCAGAGTCTCTTATTTTTATATATAATGTCCAAGGTTTGTAGTTGTATTCAGTGGGAGGAATAGAGAAAAGTACATCTATTCCATCTTCTCAAAAGTTTTGCTTTTAATCCTTTTTATTTCTAATTAATGCGCTTAAGATTATAAATGTACCTCTAAGCACAACTTTAACTATATTCCACGAATTCTGATATTTGGTGTTTTACTGTTGATCTCTTCCAAATGCTTTGCAATTTTTATTATGACTTTTTTATTTGTCCCATAAATTATTCATGTTTCTAAATTTCCAAATAGTATTTTGGCTATCTTTTTGTTATTGATTTCTAATTTTGTTGATTGTTACATTTTGGCAGAAAAGGTGTCTGTATGCTATTGATCCTTTGATCTATGGTAGGACTTGCTTTATCGCTTAGAATGTGTCCAACTGCTATCATAAAAATGCTCCTCCTGTGTTTTAAAAACATATATATTCTTTAATGGTTAGTACAAGCCTATGATTATTCCTAGGGAAGAGTTTTTTCTCTACCTAGGATCTAGACAGAGATGCTTAAGCAGATTTTATTTTCCTGGTCCATACTTTTTGAGATCTTAACTTGTGATGGGGAGGTGATCTCGGTCTCTATTCCCCCATCAACAGCAGCCAAAGGTTTTCTGTCCTTCTGAGAGCATTAAAACCCAAACCCCTAGGTTTTGGAGTACTGCCTTCTCCCTGCACACTTCCACCAACACATACACACCAACAGCAGCTGTTCAAGATTTCCAGGTTTCAGTTCCTGCCTTGCTTCTGGGAACAAAGGAAGTGCCCTTTCTTTCTCATGATTTTAGTTACATGTTTAAAAGAATGTTTTGGTTCTGCTTTTCCCATCCAACATGATAGGGAAGAAGGCAATCAGGACATTGATTTTTAGAACCACAAGGACTTACAGAACACAGGTTTGTGAGCGAGGTCATCTAAAGTGATTCCTCCTTCAGGATTAAACTCAAAACTGCTAGTGAAGTTGTATTTTGCACTTCCTTCTGGAGAAACAGTAATTTTTGCAGAGTCTCCCAGAACCACTTGATTGAATTCTGCCCGAATAAAGGTAACTGGAGTATCTCCTTTAAAACCTTTCTGTTGGCAGAAACACACCACTTTACAATTATATTTAAATAGAGAATTTTCCTACACATCTGGCAACCCATTTTGATTTGGGCTAAATAGCATTTTTCATTTTTTCCTAACAAGCAACATCACAAATACAAAAGGAATAGGTAGAAAAATAATTAAACAAATCTAGTTTTACTTAAATGCAACATTCCATTTAAGTGCTGTTATGTTGGAGTTTTGAAAACAACATTTATTGTGTTTCACCTGATAATAGAAGTATACTGAGGAACATTTTTAAAAGAAAGAAAATTAATTACCTGCAATCTTACTGTAACATGTAAGCATTATTAACATTTTAGAATATATTTTCTAGTGTTTTGTTGTGAATATATGGATGTGCACGTGTATACCCATACACACAGATACATTTTTATATATGCATTTTAAAACAAAGTGGAGCTCATTAATTACATTCTCTTTGAAATGATCTTTTTAAACTTAATATACTGAATATTTTCCCATTTCATTATACTCCTAATTTTTAGTACATCACATTGTTGTTGTTGTTGTTTTAATTAATCAAATAGAATTAATCAGAAGGGAAACTCTGGAAGAATTCAGATCCTTCTCAGGAGAAAGGGAAAAAAATTATATGTGAACTGCTGTCTAGGGAAACTAAAACCGCTATTTCTTTCATCCTATTAAATTTAGTATTCAAATTGCCGAGTATTTGAGACACACAGTAATGTGACTTGGAGATCACAGACTAACAATAAGGAACACTGAGGCGGAATGCCACTGCTATATAAAGCCAGGAGGTTTGGAGGTAGAGAATGAAGCAAAATTCCATTACTCCTGCAGGTACTCCCAAACTAAGGATTTTGTAAATTTCCAAAAGTAACTTTACCAAATCATATCCCTCTGTCACGGTGATCTGCACGAGTCTGCCTGTTGATGGCACTTGCTCCATATCACCAACTGGGAAAAGTCCCTCTGGTTTTCTTTGGTCTCTGTAAACAGAATGAATCAACCTGTCCCCTCATGTACCAGAGCTGCACAAGTACCCATATTCCATCATAACCAATACCAGGGAGAACCTAAGGAAATACCATAATCCAGCACTGTTTTATTCCCCACATCCAACCTTTGCTGCTGGACAGGCAGTGCTTTAGGGAGCTGGTCAGAAAGATGATTTCACTGGTTAGCGCTAAAAGATGTTTATACAGGTAACTAATCCATTAAGCACAAAGTCTCACAAGACAAAGTAGGAACACCTTGACCTCCCATACCCTACATCAGGGGTCCCCAGCCCGAGTCATGAACCAGTACCAGCTCGTGGCCTGTTAGGAACCGGGCCGCACAGCAGGAGGTAAGCAGCAGGCAAGCAAGCAAAGCTTCAATTCTATTTACAGCCATTCCACATCACCTGCATTACCACCTGAGCTCTGTCTCCCGTCAGATCAGTGGCGGCATTAGATTCTCACAGGAATGTGAGCCCTATTATAACTGAGTACATGCAAAGGATCTAGAATCAAATGCCTGATTTGTCACTGTCTCCCATCACCCAGAGATAGAACTGTCTAGCTGCAGGGAAACAAGCTCAGGGCTCCCATTGATTCTACATTATGGTGAGTTGTATATTTCATGATATAGGCTGGGCGCGGTGGCTCATGCCTGTAATCCCAGCACTTTGGGAGGCGAGGCGGGCGGATCACGAATCAGGAGTTCGAGATCAGCCTGTCCAATATGGTGAAACCCCATCTCTACTAAAAAATACAAAAATTAGCCGGGTGTGGTGGCATGCACCTGTAGTTCCAGCTACTTGGGAGGCTGAGGCAGGAGAATCACTTGAACCTGGGAGGTAGAGGTTGCAGCGAGCTGAGATCACACCACTGCACTCCAGCCTGGGCGACAGAGTGACTCCGTCTCAAAAAAAATACATAGGCCGGGCGTGGTGGCTCACGCCTGTAATCCCAGCACTTTGGGAGGCCAAGGCGGGCAGATCATGAGGTCAGGAGATCGAGACCAGCCTGGCTAACATGGTGAAACCCCATCTCTACTAAAAATACAAAAAAATTAGCCAGGCATGGTAGCGGGCGCCTGTAGTCCCAGCTATTCTGGAGGTTGAGGCAGGAGAATGGTGTGAATCCGGGCAGCGGAGCTTGCAGTGAGCCGAGATTGCGCCACTGCACTGCAGCCTGGGCGACAGAGCAAGACTCCATCTCAAAAAAAATATATATATATATATATATATTTTAAAATTATTATATATTACCATGTAATAATAATAGAAATAAAGTGCACAATAAACGTAATGTGCTCGAATCATCCCCAAATCATCCCCGCTGCCCCCAGTCTGTGGAAAAATTGTCTTCCACAAAACTGGTCCCTGGTGCCAAAAAGGTTGGGGACTGCTGCCATACACCTTTCACAGTGTTCTCTGGTAACCTTTTTTTTTAATCTGCAAAGCTCCCTTCAAACATTATTTAACTTCTCAGTTTTACAAAAATATATTTTGAGAGCAGGAAAGAAGCAACCACATAAAATGGTAGTCCATTGGAAAAGGTCTTAATATATATACCTTATTTAGTCAGATATACTGTCAATTTTACAATACTAAGGGCACAAACAATTTCAAAAATAAATTGGATATTTGTTTTTTAGAAAAGGTCTTTTCTGTCTCCTTCCTTCCTTCTTTTTTTTTTTTTTTGGTTTTTGTTTTTGTTTCTTCAGGCTCTCACTCTGTCACCCAGGCTGGAGTGCAGTGGTGTGATCACAGCTCACTGCAGCTTCAACCTCCCAGGCTCAAGTGATCGTCCCACCTCAGCCTCCTGAGTGGCTGGAACTATAGGCATGCGCCAACACGCCCAGCTAATTTTTGTATTTTTCGCAGAGACAGGGTTTCACCACGCTGTCTAGGCTGGTCTCGAAGGCTAGGCTCAAGCAATTCGCCCACTCAGCCTCCCAAAGTGCTGAGATTAAAAGGCATGAGCCACTGTGCCTGTTGAAAAGGCCTTATTTTCTAACTCAATTCAAACGTTTACTGAGGACATACTATGCTAAGTGTATTTGGTGATACAAAAGAGAAAACGACATCTTACAGCCTTCAGACTTTATCTTTATCCTGCCTCTTCTCAGCTACTCCAGCATTTTTCCAGACACCTAAAAGTCTCAGATCATTTGTTCAACAACATATTTCTGGGCTGTTTCAGGGCTTTAGTGGCACTGACAACTTCTTTGTCAAATGTACATTTAAAATGCCCTTTTGTATCAGTCTTCTTTCCTTTTCAATAATACGGCATTAGGCCTTCATTACCCTTCTGCTAGACTGTAACAAAAGCCTCCTAACTGGTGTCTCTGACTCCAGTTTCTCACTCTAACTCATCCCGCTTCTGTCAGAACTGCTCATTGAAAAAACTTTGTTAAGCTTGGCACTGTGATGGGTGCTGAGGATACAAGAGATAAGATGTGCACTCTCTAACCTCAAGAAATTTAAAATCTAGTGAGGACGAGAGACGTGTAACTAGACCAGGAGTCATAATCTGTGAGACAGGTGCTCTGACAGAGGAAAAGAAGGGAGGAGTGAAAGAAAGAAAGGGAGGGAAGAAGTGCTCTGACAGAGGAAAGAAGGGAGGAAAAGGGGGGTGGAAATTTATTTTTTCTTTTACAAATATAAAGAATGTGAGAAGTAAGGAAATTAACTGATTATAGCCAGTGTACCAAGTGTGCTTCACATTTATTATCTTAAACGTAGCTTCCCTTCTAAGTGATTCTTAAATCTCTGTTTGAGTGAAAAAAAACTGAGCTTCAGAGAAGTTTGTTATCGTACCAGCAATCATATAGCAAGGAAGTGCTGCATAAAGCTGGGACCTAGCTGGATTTGAGAATACGTGTGCATGCCAGGAAAATCTTGGAGGAAGTACCCTGGAACTATGTCTTAATAGAGTAAAGGGAAGGATAATCCAAGAAAGGCAACAGATTTTAAAACGTTCAGAGGCAAAACAACACACATAGCAAGTAGCAAGTAGCTTGCAGCGGTGGTGTAAGAAGAAATAGGGAGAAAATGAGACGAGACAAGCAGATAACTACCTTATTAAAGTACAGATCTGATCATACCACTGTCTTGTTCCCTCTCACCTACCAAACAAAGTTAAACTGTAACACTACAGTTTAACTGTAGTTAAATGTAGTACTACATTCAGGGCTTTCTAGGATCTCGCAGTGCCAGTCAACTCCCCTCTTCTAGCTTATGCTCTTGCTTAGTATTTTTCAAAGATCACCTGCATTTAGTCACTTCTGAACCTTTGCATTTTTCCTTCCCCCTGGAATGATCTCTCCCTTTCTACTCCGTCTCTACAGTAAATCCTACTCATCCTTTAAAATCCAGCTCAAATGCTTCCTAGTCCATGAAGCTTCCCAGTCGGAAAAACCTGCCTTTCCTCTGAATTCATTTAGCACTTTACACGTCTCTTGTGGCATTACCACAAGCTGTCCTGTTTATGAAGACTGGGTATTCAAAGGACCTTTCCTACTTAATAACTATGTGCCCCTGGGCAAAAGCCTAACTTCTCTAAGCCTCAGTTTCACCTTCTGTAAAATGGATAACTTCCAACCTGTTTCACATTGTGAATACCTCCTAAGATATTAAAGCTGTTTAAGCTATGAAGCACTGCACAAATGATATTATTAATATGCAGCGTTTGTCCTGTGAGCTCAATTACACCTTCGAAGGCATGTGACCTTCACGCATATTTACGGGCCCCGAGTGCCTGGCACCATGTCTTGTACACAAGAGGCGTTCGCGTCGTGTTTGAACTATGAATGCAAGAAATAGGACTAAAGTTATGATCAGGGCAGCTAGGGTGGGGACTCTTGTTGCCCCCGGCAAGGCACGCATTTCTTGTCATCTGCTCGGAAGAAGCTGCAAGGGGAGAGTCCAGTGAGAAAAAGGTTGGACGAAAGAGGCGATGTGACTGGGTCTGGTCTGGGGACAAGCGCAGTCCGCGCGGAATGAGACCTACGACGAGAAGCGGTAAAGGAGGACCTACGTCCGCGCTCCTGTGGAGGTCGCCGGGCTGGGGCTGGAGGCAGAGTCCGCGCCTGGCCGGGCCAGCGGCTTTTCGGTCTAAATAACGGGGTTTTCAGCCTGGACTTAGCTGAGGGAGCAGAAGATCGGGGTGACGGCTGTGGTGTGGCCGCAGGACCGGGGTGGGGAGGCCGGGAAGAGAGAGTTTCTTCAGGAGGGATCGCTGTCTTACCTGCAGCAGCCTCAGTTATGTTTTTGACAACTATAGCAACCAACTACCTATCGCGAGAACTTACTTTTGGCAATCGCAGCAAGTTTATTTCAAGACTCGCGATAACCCTCTGGGGACGAGAGCAGGGAGCGCGACCCTGAGCTTCTGCGCCTGCGCCCTAGCGCCGGCTGTAGCCCCGTCATTTCGAGTCCCTGCTGTTTCCGCGGATGCTTTACCTTGGCAAGCGTTTGGGTTAAGTGCACAGGTTTCCATCTTTACATTTTGCTTTCTCGACTCTTTTATTTCAATATTTCTCCATAATAGTAGGGAAAAAAGCATAAGGAAGTTTAAAGAAAAAGGCCTTTATTAAACTGATTTGAAAACATCATTTAAATATTTCTGCGTGAAATATGCAATATTTTAAAAATGAGCCTGTCACGCACTGTTGATGAGAGTGCAAAATGACCCTGCTTCTAGGTGCTCAGTATTTGTACAATAAACAGACCTGAAGTTTATGATGTTAATACAAACTTTTAATATTCAAAATTTAACATTAAAGAGCTAAAATAGCAAAACAAAATAGCAACAACCTGGAAACAACCCAAGTGCCCGTCGACGAAATAGTGGATAAGTGGACCAATAAACTGTGGCATATTCACAAAGAGGCGTATTACAGGCAGTCAAAGTTAATGAACTGCACAACGCAGATGAATTTTAGCAGTATGTATACTTTAAATTGTTGCAGTATTAAGAGCCAGCTTGAAGGGACTCCCTTGGGCCAAATGAGGGACAATTTGAGCATGAAGTAAACAACGACCATAACGGATTACAATCCATTGAATATGCAAGTCCGTGTTGATATAGAGAAACAGGAAAACTCCTTCGAAGTACGGTGCCAACACAGAAGTGTAGCAAGAAGGATGGAAATAGAGAACTACCATTTGACAACTACTGAGGAGGATGACTCAGGCAGGAGTGTTCAATGGACGCCAAGGCTGGTGGGTAGATGTTCTGTGAGGCATAGAATACTGGGGTGATTTTGGAATGCTTCTCCCATGGAATACTACTTGATTTCAGAGGGGAAAACAGTGAATGGAAGCAACCAACATGATCAGGTGATCATGGTTAACATCATCAGTGTTGGGAGGAGTCTACATTGTGAGCCTCCTGGTGAAACACACTAAATTCCACAAAGTATCCCTTTTGGTTTTCCTACCATCAAAGGAACTCAGGTTGTAGACCATCCAAGGACAGGAAAGACTGGGAACTGTCTCTGACTGAGGTTATATGACAACTAAATGCAATATGTATCTCTGTATAGCATTCTGGACCAGAAAGGAAAACAACATTGTTAGGACAGTTGGCAAAATGTGAATTAGCTCTGTGAATCACATACCACCGCGAACATGCCCGATCTCGTCTGAAGTGGATGGTATGTTGTACCAATATTGATTCTCTGATGAGGAAGTTTGTTTGTTGTTAGGTAGGAGAGTGTCCCTGTTTAGGGGAAAATAAACACTGGTGTATTCAGGAGTGATGAGAAACTATCTCTACAATTTGCTCTCTTGACTCTCAAAAGGTCCAGAAAAAGACTAACAAGGGATACATACACATGTACACACACATATGCACATGCATGCACACATGTACGCATACACACACAGTGAGCAATGAAACAAGTGCAATAAGGTGTTAACTATTTGGGAATCTGAGTGCAGGGGACATGGGACTTCCTTACACGATTTGGGCAACTTTTCTATACATTTGAGATCATTTCAAAACAAATTATTAAAATATATACATACACATAACCACTCTACCTGGGAAGTTCTTTGCTTAGGATATAGAGTTACCAGAGTCAAAATTTAAAATTTTTGTTTATGTGAATAAAGAAATATTATAAATACTAAAAGAAATACTTTTTGGAACTTGCAGTGTTACAGGTAATAAAGGTTCTCAAAATAAAACTACTATGGCACTACTGAGTAAGGATTTCTCTCTGGATTTTTTCCCAAGTGAGGGTTTTGGGTCAATTTGCACTGAGGCAGCTATCTCACTTGCAAATGACACACTTTTTCTACATAATAAGCTGGGTTAGGCCGAGTCTTTAATAGGGAGCTGTTCTTCCAGAAATCGCTCATGATCTTGATCTACTTAGTACTTTGCTTCAAGGTCTTAGGCAAGCAAGGATAAATAACAGATGTCACTTCTTTAAACATAATTAATCTCCATTCAACTGTAGGGTACCTGAGAGCAAGGGCTGTATGTTACCATTTTCTTTTTTCTTTTTTTTTAAGACGGAGTCTCACTCTGTAGCCCAGCCTGGAGTGCAGTGGCGCAATCTGGGTTCACTGCAACCTCCACCTCCTGGGGTCAAGTGATTCTTGTGCCTCAGCCACCGGAGTAGCTGGGATTACAGGCACCCATCACCACGCCCGGCTAATTTTTGTATTTTTAGTAGAGATAGGGCCATGTTGGCCAGGCTGGTCTTGAACTCCTAACCTCAGGTGATCCACCCACCTCAGCCTCCCAAAGTGCTGGGATTACAGGCGTGAGCCACCATGCCTGGCCTTTTTTTGTTTTTTGTTTTTTTTTTTTTAATTGAGATAGTCTTGCTCTGGAGTTCGGTGGCATGATCTCGGCTCACTGCAACCTCCGCCTCCCGGGTTCATGTGACCCTCCCGCCTCAGCGTCCCGTGTGTGTGTGTGTGTGTGTGTGTGTGTGTGTGTGTGTGTGTGTGTTACAGTTCTTTTATTCTCCTGCAGTGCTTAGCAGTGGCCAGTCTATTTGAAAGGCATTCAATACTTTTTGACTGATTTAAAACATCCACTTGTGTATGGAAAAAGCCCTCTTTAGTGGTATGGAAAATATAATAGTACTGGAATCATAATAAAATCATCTACATATGCAAACCAATTTCAGGGGAAAAAACTATAAAAATCTCTTTCTAATAAAATTCAAATGCCTTAGTCTGAGTTTCAAAGGCCTCCACTAAATGATGCACTAGCTCAACAAAATCCTTTCTCATTACTCCAAAAGACATGTTTCTAATTAGCTAATTTGTTACTTCCAAAGTCAACATATTTCTGACACTCAATAAAACAATCAAATGTATTGCTCATCCTCAAATTGATCTACAGATTGAGAGCAATCACTATTAAAATCTCGACTTTTTTTTTTTCCAGAAATTAACAAGCTGATCCTAAAATTCATATAGAAAAGCAAGGGACCCACAGTAGCCAAAACAATCTTGAACCAGAACAGTCGGAAGACTCACACTTTCCAATTTCAAAACTTTCTACAAAGTTGCATTAATCAAGTAATGAAGACAATAATAAAGGCATAAAGATAGCCATATAGATCAAAAAAATCAACTGAATTGAGAGTTCAGAAATAAACTCTTACATTTATGGTCAATTGATTTTTAACAAGAGTGCCAAGATGATGTAATGGGATGTGGGAGGGAGGGCGGTAATATAGTCTTTTAAACAAATGGTACAAGAAAAAACAATGTCCACTTTCAAAGAATGAATTTGGACCCTTACCTAACACCATATACAAAAAATAACTCAAAATGAACCAAAGACCTAAATGTAAGAACTAAAACTATAAATTTGAGGGTTTTCTATTTCTGTGAAGAATGTCATTGCAATGTTGATAGAGACTGTGTTGAATCTGTAGAGCACTTTTGAAGTATGAACATTTTAGCAGTGTTAATTATTCTAATCCATGAACATAGGATACTTTTTTTTTGTAGTAATTGTGAATGAGATTGCTTTTTTCTTTTTCAGATAGTTCATTAATGGCATATAGAAATGCTACTGATTTTTGTATGTTGCTTTTGTATCCTGCAACTTTACTGAATTTATTACTTCTAGCAGTTTTTTGGTAGAATCTTTAGGTTTTCTGTGTATAAGTTCATGTCATCTGCAGACACGAAGTTTGACTTCTTTCTGTCCAATTTAGATGTCCTTTGTTTCTTTCTCTTGCCTAATTACTCTGGCTAGGACTTCCAGTACTATGTGACTAGAAGTAGTGAAAGTGGCTATCCTTGTCTTGTTCCAGATTTGAGAGAAAAAGCTTTCAACATGTCCTCATTAACTATGTTAGCTGTGGGTCTGTCATACATGGTCTTTATTGTACTGAGGTATGTTCCTTCCACATCTAATTTGTTGAGAGTTTTGTTTTGTTTGGTCATGAAGGGATGTTGAACATTACCAAATGCTTTTTCCACGTCTACTGAGATTATCATATGGCTTTTATCTTTTGTTCTGTTAGTGTGATGTATCACAAAAATTGACTATCCACATGCAGAAGAATAAAACTAGACCCCTATCTCTCACCATTTACAAAAATAGCCTCAAAGGGGATAAAATATTTAAGCATAAGACCTGAAACTATTAAACTATTAGAAAAAAAAAAACACAGGAAAAAATGCTTTTGACATTGGTCTGAGCAAGGAATTTTGGGATAACCCTCAAAACACAGGCAACAACAACAACAAACATAGACAAGTGGGATTACATCAAACTAAAAAGCTTCTGCACAGCAAAGGAAACAATCAATAGATTGAAGAGACAGCATATAGAATGGGAGAAAATATTTACAAACTATGCATCTGACAAGGGGTTAATATCCAGAATATATAAGAAACTCAACACCAAAAAAGAAAAAAAAATGCAAAAAACAAAACCCCCCACAAATAATCTGATTTTAAAATGGGCAAAAGATCTAAATAGACATTTCTCGAAAGAAAGTATACAAATGGCCAATAGATTTATGAAAAAATGTTCAACATCACTAAACATGAGGAAAATGCAAATAGTGTATCTACACAAACATAGATAGCATAGCCTACCACATACCTAAGTCATATAGAGTATATCCTATTGCTTCTAGGCAACAAACAGGTATGGCATGTTACTATACCGAATACTGTAGGCAATTTTAACACAATGGTAAGTACTTGTGTATCTAAACATAGAAAAAGTACAGTAAAAATATGGTATAAAAGATAAATAGTACACCTGTAGAAGGCACTCATAATGAATGACACTTGCTGGCCTAGAAGTTGCTCTGGGCGAGTGAAGGAATGAGTAGTGAGTGAATTGTGAAGGCCTACGACATTACTGTATACTACTGCAGACTTAATAAACACTATATAATTAGGCTACACTAAATTTATTTTAAAACTTTTAAATAATACATTTACTTTAGCTTACTGTAACATTTTTGCTTCCTAAACATTTTTTTTTTCCCTTGGAGTTAGGGTCTCGTTCTGTCACCCTGGCTGGAGTGCAGTGGCATGATCATGGCTCACTGCAGCCTCAATCTTCTTGGGCTCAAGCAAACCTCCTGCCTTTTTGTATTTTTTTGTAGAGATGGGGTTTCACCATGTTGCTCAGGCTGGTCTTGAATTATTGGGCTCAAGTGATCCACCTGCCTCGGCCTCCCTAAGTGCTGAGACTACACGCGTGAGCCACTGCACTCAGCCTAAACTTCTTAACTTTTTGACTCTTATAGCTATACAAAAATATTTTCTGTACGTCCTTATAAGTTTTTTTAAAATTATTTTTTACAGGCCTTCTACAGGTATACTATTTATCTTTTATACCATATTTTTACAGGTGGCTCACGCCTGTAATCTCAGCACTTTGGGAGGCCGAGGCAGGTGGATCATAAGGTCAGGAGATCGAGACCATCTGGCTTGAAACCCCGTCTCTACTAAAAACAGAAAAAATTAGCTGGGTGTGGTGGCGGGCGCCTGTAGTCCCAGCTACTCAGGAGGCTAAGGCAGAAGTATGGCGTGAACCCGGGAGGAGGAGCTTGCAGTGAGCGGAGATCATGCTGCTGCACTCTAGCCTGGGCAACAGAGCGAGACTCTGTCTCAATAAATAAATAAATAAATAAATAAATAAATAAATAAATAGTTTTTTACTTTTTGAGCTTTGTTAAAAACTAAGACACAGGTCAGGTGTGTTGGCTCTGGCCTGTAATCCTAGCACTTTGGGAGGCCGAGGTAAGAGGACTGCTTGAGTCCAGGAGTTACCAGCCTGGGGTGACATGGTGAGACCACGTCTCTTCAAAAAACTTAAAAATTAGTGTGGTGTGATGGCAAAAGCCTGTAGTCCCAGGTACTTGGGACGCTGAGGCAGGAGGATCGCTTGAGGCCAGGAGTTCAAGGCTGCAGTGAGCAATTATTCCACCACTGCACTCCAACCTGGGTGACACAGCAAGACCCTGCCTTCAAAAATAAAAAAAACAAAGACACAAATACACACATTAGCCTAAGTCTACACAGGCTCAGGAAAATCAACATGACTGTTTTCCACCTGCACATCTCATCCCACTGGAAGGTCTTCAGGGGCCTAACACACATGGAGCTGTCATCTCCTAAAACAATGCCCTCTTCTGGAATACCTCCTGAAGGTCCTACCTTAGGCTTTTTATAGTTAACTTCTTTTCAATGAGTAGATGGAATATACTCTAAAATAAATAATAAAAAGTCTAGCATTAGTAAGTACTAAGTGATAGGAATTTTTCAGCTGTGTTATGTTATGGAACTACTGTCATATATGTAGTCTGTTGTTGACTGAACCTTCATTATGCAGTGCGTTGTTGGTGAGAATGTAAATTGGTACAGCCACTGTGGAAAATAATAGAGGGTTCCTAAAAAAATTAAAAACAGAACTACCATATGAACTAACAATCCCATATATCCAAAGGATATGATATCAGTATGTCAAAAAGATGTCTGCACACCCATGTTTATTGCAGCACTATTCACGATGGCCAAAACATGGAATCAACCTAAGTGTCCATCAACAGTTGAATGAATATGTGGTAAATTTACACAATGGAATACTATTCAGCCATAAAAAAGAATGAAATCCTGTCATTTGGAACAACTTGAATGAGCCTAGAGATCATTAAGTGAAATAAGCTAGGCACAGAAAGACAAATACTGCATGATCTCATTCATATGTAGAATCCTAAATTTTTTTTTTTTTTTTTTTTTTTTTTGAGGCTGAGTCTCGCTCTGTCACCCAGGCTGGAGTGCAGTGGCAAGGTCTCGGCTCACTGCAACCTTCACCTTCCAGGTTCAAGGAATTCTCATGCCTCAGCCTCCTGAGTAGCTGGGATTACAGGCGCATGCCACCACACCCAGCTATTTTTCGTATTTTTAGTAGAGATGGGGTTTCACCATGTTGGCCAGGCTGGTTTCGAACTCCTGTCTTCAAGTGATCCACCCACGTCAGCCTCCCAAAGTGCTGGGATGGATTACAGATGTGAGCCACTGCACCTGGCCTTAAAATGTTGATCTAATAGAAGTAGAGAATAAATAGTGG